ATACCACGGATGATCAGAAGATGGAGGAGAAGGACAGTGATGAGTAGAGGCATGACAGAGACCTCAGTTTCATTCGTTTTCTAGCATGTGTTTCATGTATGTTGTGTTGTACTATATATGTATTCCTGGACTATATCCTTATCATATAGTGGTGTAGCACATCACTTATGTAGTGATTGTATGGATGATACCTTCTGTGTTTTGTTTCTCATCTCATATACTATGCTTGAGGAATGTGATATTATTAATCTTAAATATACATAATGGATTATATGTCATATGGAGAATCTCAGCAATGTCTTGGTGTAAATGCTCAATAAAAGGGAAAGTTGATGTTGCTTTTAAATAGCCAAGACCTTCACTTTAACAAACTCTCACCTGAACCTTAAAAAAATCTTAAAATAATTAGAAGTGTACATTTGAATATTATAAACTAACCAAGGACATTTTTAAACTCTTTAACTGATAACTTAAACAATTTAGCTAGACGCTAACCTTTGAATGAAATATAATACACTGGGAAATCATATTAAGAGAAATTTGAAAAACATCAATTAAAAGAAATTAGACGTTCAAAATCCTTAAAAGAATCATACCAAATATAATAATTCCAAGACAAGTAGAAAAAAAAAGAAGGGAAAGGGCAAGAGCCCCAACTCTTGAAGTGAATAGCCCACTTACCTGAAAAGAAACTTAAATAAAAAATTGACGTCTAACACGTCCTCTAATCGATGAAACTTAAACTTTCTTGAGAAAATTTTTATGGTATTATATTCATGAAGAACGTTACGATAAATTGAATTAGTTTCTTAACCCTCGATCAATTTAAAATATCCTTGAAAAGTGTAAGATATATTTTAAAGAAACAAAGTTAAGTATTTTGAGATGCACTTAAGATCAGAAGTGTGAAGATTAAAGTAAGAATCAGGTTAACTGACGTTAACGAAAAATTTGTCCTAAAATGATATTTACACACTCATATAAATCTAAGAACTCCACAATTCTATTTGAATTTAACTTGACGAACAATAAGTTTAACTGTGATGAGAATATGCATGAATCACATCCCATTATGAGTCTCATTATAAGCACCATGCCTCCTTTGTCCACCATCACATCTCTATCTATCTACCAGGAATCCCTTGTTGATAGTAGGTTGTGGGAGCAAGACATTTGATGATCTTCCAAAAAGAATGCATCCCAAATCCCATGAGAGTCAATTACCATAGAATCTTTGAAGTCTTAATCCAAATCTGAGACCTGATTTACTATCGCTTCTAAAACATGAAAATCATCTGAAAATATTTCATTTTGTTAAACATCTCACATGAAGTCAATCTAATAGACCAATTTTGAGCCTTTAGATGACATCTAACCCTTCATTGCTTTAATTACAATTAAATGTCATCAAGAATGTTGATCCCTAAGATCAGTGGCCGATCAGAGAGTGATCAAGAATAATTGACAAACATTAAGTCGAAAACAAGATCTAAATATCTCCATATACCATAAATAATTGAGCTTGAATACGTTCTCAAAGCTAGACTTCTCATTGATTTCTTTGCAAAAGAAGCCTGAAGAGGCTAATGTGAGGTCGACACAAGGAAAAATTACTAAAAATTTTCAGCCCAAAATCTTGAAAACTGACAGCACAATAGAAACATAAGTGTCGAAGAACCATATGAATACATATCGCAATGATCAAGAAGACTGAAATCTCAAAGGCAGAATATATACCGATCAAGGAAAGTTATGAATTTACAGAACTTTTCTTAGCAGTTGGAGAAAGCAGATCCAAAAGGAATTTGTCCATCGAGATATTAACAAGAAAACATGATCAAATACCTCAGACTAAGCCTAATGATCAACCGAAGAAGCACAATGAAAAAAATTTTGAATACATCGAAAGGGTGAAAGGTTGGCAAGTAAACATATTTAAAGGGTTGCGACTCTATACTGGCGTATTCACTAGCCCAGCACAAGCATGTTATCATAATATGATTATGTTGCTTATGTCTTTCACCCTTCACAATATGATTTTGTTCTCAAGCTTTCTTGACATATTATCCATGAATCATTAATTCAGGTGCTACGGACCACATGACTGGATGTTCTCAAATTTTCTCGACATATTATCCAGGCTCCGGGAAAGAAACACTTAAAATTGTTGATGACTTATGTAATTCCATTGCTAATAAAAGATTGTTGTATTAACAGTCGGTTTAACGCTGCTATTTCTGTTATATGTCAATCTGTTGAAGTGTAACATTATATCCGTAGTAAGTTGACACGTTATATTAATTATGTTGCTCATTATCTTCATGTTTGTGGCTTTTTGGATCGTCGTTCAGAGAGAATGATTGAAACTTCTGAGAAGGTATTCGAGCTCTACTTCTTCCAAAAAAAAGGCATTGAGACAAAGATACTTCTTCCAGTAGTTGCAATTTTTCTCAATCAATTGAATGTCTTATTACGTTGTTGCATTATCATTTGAGTCATCTTAGTTTTCAATATTTAAAAAATGGTATCTGTCGATATTTACTAATACAAATCTTGTTAGATTCAAATGTAAGATTTTTCACTTAGCAAAACAACATCACATTCTGTATCTGCCCCTCTTACACGCCTTACGCTCAATTTTCACTTATTCACAGTGACTTATGAGGACCTTCTCACACTCTCAACTACACTAATAAACGGTGGTTCATAACCATGATTGATGACCATACTCGAATGATAAGGTTCGAATGACGTTGGTCTATATCTTAAAAGGTAAATATAAAATTGTAGTCACCTTAAAAAACTTTCACTTATTTATTTCATTGATGACCATACTCGAATGATAAGGTTCGAATGACTTTGGTCTATATCTTAAAAGGTAAATATAAAACTGTAGCCACCTTCAAAAACTTTCACTTATTTATTTCGACCAATTCAAAACATCAATTCAAATCCTTAGAGCCAAAAATGACCGCAAATTATTTAACTCTATATTAGGAAAATTATCGGTAAATAAAGACATCCTCAATCATAACTTGTGTACGGACACTCCTCAACAAAATGGGATAACAAAGAGAAAAAAACCGGCACTTTCTCGAAGTAGCTCACACCATTATACTTCAATATATTGTCCCAAAAAGTTTTGAAATTATTAGAATTATTATTTCTACTGCAGTTATTATTAGCTTCCGTTTCCATACTTATGTATTTCCTATGTGGTCTATTTTTGAATTTATGTCTTTACTTTATTTGATCTTTCCTTTTATTTAAGTATTGTAATGTGTATTTATACCCCTTTTTCTATCAATGAAAAATAAATTTCAATTCTCAAAAGTTAACATGGAGGAATACATTGGGCCTAATGTGTGATGAAAAAGTATTATCGCTTAAAACTAAAGGAAAATTTTATAAGAAGGTGGTGCGACCTGCAAGTTTAATGGTGCAAAATGTTGGCCAATAAAAGAGAAGCATAAATTATTTTCATAAAAAAAAAAAAACTATTTAATTATTTGTGATTATTCCTCAATGTGAGTGATTGGTTGCTTGAAGAAGTTTAGGAACTAATCGACTGCAAAAAAAAATTTCTAAAGACTAGGTGAATTCCCTTTCACTCCCAGCGCATGGATTTGTAGGGGCAAGTTCCCAGAGATTCAAATGGGACAAGTTCCACGACAACCACTGATGAACTCATTTCAATGAGTGAGTAATGCTTGCATTACTTTTTTTTTTTTGGTGCTCTCTTTTATTCAAGGTTTTAGTACATGTGCTGATAAAAATATAATGTAATTAAATAAAATTAGAAAAGAGAGATTATGAGAGTCTGTAATTTTAAATATGTGGGTGTCTTATTTTGTAAGAGTTTAAGGCCAACTTAGTAAGCCAACTAAATTTGATAGTCCCAAATGAACTCTTCTAACTAAATCTTTATATACTTTCTATAATTTGCATATACGACATGTGTCATAAGTATTTTTGAGTTGGCAACGTGGATCGCCTTGATCAAATCTCCTTTGGTAAGATATCTTCTTAGTTTGTGTCATCCCTCTACAAACCTCTACGCATAAACAATGAATATCTCCATGCTCGCAACATTTAAAAAAAAATTGAATTCAGATTTATTTGTGTTATGCCAATATTTTACCAGCACTAAAAAATAGAAAATACATGAAAAGAACTTAAAAGTACAAGAGATAAAAATCTATCAAGTATCTCAAATCCAAATAATACAGCATAAAAATAACCCTCCAAACAAGGGAAAAAATTCAAAGTCTTGAATAAAAAAAAAATGAGAGATACGATAGAAATCCTCTAAAATAAGAAAAAAATCCCCGAAGAGGTCTTGAAGGCTAAGAAAGAGAGTTACCACGGCTCTCCCCAACAATAACAACAACAAGCCTTTATCCCACTGAGTGGGGTCGGCTACATGAATCATTTTTCTCCATTTTGTTCTATAGAGTGTCATATTCTCTCTAAGATCCCATATTTATATGAGAATCTAGGAGTTTTAAGCCCTATAATAAAGTGTTATATAGTAAACATTAAATTACATGACGTGTATAGCCTAAATACAAATTCAAATTCAGACAATGCCAAATAGCTAGCCATGTTGATAGTTAAAACTTGATCTAGACAGTTGCACTCATCACTTAGCACGCAACACGCAACACTCACTCAATAGTCAATACTAGGCAATCAATACTTGACAATCGACATTCAGTTGTTGGTAATCCACCCCAGTGGTGTACACTAGGCTTAAGCTATCATTTACAAATGCAACTTTGAAATTTTTTATCTTTTCATATAGAAAAATGATAAAAATGAAAATTAAAAAAAATTCATCTTAAAATAGTCGATCAAGCATGTACAATCTTAGATATCAACAAGTGCAAAAAACATGTCAAAACTAAAGCACTAAAACTCAAAAGGAAAAATGCTAGCAATGTTAAGTCAATCCAACAATTGAAGTAAGATAATCCATTAACAATGAAATAAAACTACACCTTGATATTTTCCCTAGTATCCTCATGTGTATGAGCAAGATCGTCTCCAGTAAGCTGCCCAGATACATATATGATATCATTTGTCTTCAAATGGCATGCAGCAATTTCCGCCAAATCTCCACGAAATATTATTGGCATCCTGAAATAAGTTTACAAATTGGAAGATACGAAATGCTATTATACTCATCTTATAAATGATACAGAAAACCAAATAATTGTAATTAAATGAAAAAAAAAATAGCACACATAATATCCAAAAAAAATGAAAAGCATGGTAGCATTAATTTCAGAGTTTGAAAAAAATTTAGTGCCATGACACCGACTGTTGATGACAAAGATTCTGAATTTTCTGACAAAATGAAAACACGAACCCTGCCCAAAAATTTTGGTATCAAAGGCTAAATAATGCATATGGAAATCCAATTCTTTTATGTTATGAAATGTGTTTAGTAGTGGCAAAACCGCCTTTATATGTGAGCGCGTGTGTGCGTGTGTGTGTTTGGCAGGGAGTGGGGGTGGGTGGGTTGCTTGAACAATATTTTAGATTTTAAAAGTTTTCCCACTATTGAATTATAGTTTTTCCCACTTATCACCAAAAAAATGCCACCCCTTATGTATTTATATTTTTCTAAATCTTTACATTTTTGTCTATTTATTTTTTCTAATTATAAATTTAATGTTATATATATATA